TTTTTTTTTTTTTTTTTTTGATAAAGAAGAGACATTTTGATAGCATAAATGATAAAATAGTATTTGTTTATTGTAAAAAAAAAAATTAATGTGAAATAAACCTAAAATAAAAAGTGATAGTTACTTTAAAATAGAAATAGTAAGAAAACTAATATTTACAACTTATTCCATGAAGTTTAATTTAATTCAATGATTACATATCTCTATTTTCAAAAGAGAAGCAATTGAACTAATGCGAATTTTTTGGCTCAAATTTCTTTGTTTTTCAATGAGTTAGGCTAATTAGTTGAAACCATCCTAAGGAAAGTGATGGAGACGAAAAACAGAAGTTCAAATTCTGATTCAGTCAATTAACTTGTACGCCTTCCTCAATTTTTAGCCCAATTAATCCCATAGACACATGTAAACTTTATCATCTATAGATACCAAGTAAAGCTCTTTCTAAGAATATTAGACTATATCAATTTATTAGAAGTTTTTCTAAAGTTTATACATATGCCGTTACAATGGAAGTCCTAATATATATATTTTTTTGGTATGAAAATTTTAAGAATTAAATATTAAATCTGTTATTAAAAATAGAAGTAATAACTCTATTATTAGATTATATAGTTGGTATGAGAGTGCTAATATATTCTTATAAGTTTAGAGTACCCTTGTATTTCTTTCAATAAAATCTACCCCTGCCCTTTGTATTTTTTATTTTAATTTTTTTTTTGGGTGAAATTTCTTATTTTAATTTTTCAACTTTTCAAATATTAATTATGCATGTTTTGTTTTATCATCCTAACATGGCTTCCAACCTGAATTAAGTTTGCATATACATATACTTAGATACCTGCATTCTCATCAAGAGATCTGAACTCTGTTTTACTCGAAATCGATTTTTCTTGAATTCCTGACGGAGCCATTCAACATGGGCACGTTCCTCCGGGGTTCCAGCCTCTGGGTCGAACTCCCAGTGTTGTCTTCCAACATGATTGTTGACCGTGATCAGCCACGGCCCATCCTCTGCTATCTTCAACTTCCACATTTAATTTCTGTGCAATTAACATCAGTGGCCGAGCCAGGAAATATTGTTAGCGGGGCAAGATAAAATTTTGACTAAAAAGGATGATTTTGTGTGTTAATTTAAAAAGTAAAAACAACATAATAACATTTATTAGTTTTTAACAATAAATTAATAGTAGTTGATAATGTAATATAAACACCATTAGTTAAAAGATAAGAACAAACATAAATTAATTAGAATAATACTATGAACAAAGAAAAGGGAAGTAAATATATTAAAGAATAAATTCTTTATAAAAAAAATAATAAATAATTTTTATTCCATTAATTTTCACTTTTTCTAATACTTTATATTATCATTACTTTCTTCATCTTCCGCTTTAGCGTTAAAAGTAATCTTTAATAACATAAATACTAAGAAATGATTCAAAAAATAGTATGAAATAAGGAAGGATAAATGATAAGAATAAGACATAAGGGACCAAAATAAATTTTTTACAATAGTTTAGGGGGGCCTGTGCCCCCTCAGGCCTCCCTTGCTCCGCCGGTAATTAATATTACTCATAGCATTTTCTATTTATATGTCTAGTGATAAAGATGTTTTGGTTCAAGTTGCATTAGTGACATGAGTTAATAACTAAAAATATAAAAATTTTACTTTTTATGGTATCAACTTATAAAATAAAATAAATAAATAAAATCACAAAGGAACCTAAAAATCTCAAAGAACCCACGTAAGCAAACTATAACGAAAGGCACATCCACGAAGCACCACCACAATCATCCGGATCATCGAGCCATTATAATCCTTTAAATCCCGATCAAAGACAAATCAACGCCCAAATGCTTCACCCAATAACTGAATCAATCTAGCAACTCTTCCCTCTTCCCACCAAAGTCAGCTAATTAAGCAGAGGCAAGAGGGCAAAGGTTTTTTGCTAAAGTTTTTTAAATGGTACAAATTAAAAATGTATTAATGGTAAATTTTATTATAAATTATTTAAAAAAACAAATTTTAATTTTAATTTTATTAATTGCTTAATAAAAATTATTCATGGATTATCGATAATGTTAAAAGTAAAATTAATTTGTCTTTTATATAAATTAATAAAAAAATAAATAATTAATGTACATAAGGACATGGATTAAAAAAATAATTTCTATTATTTTCCTTTCTTGGACGTATTACGAGTAAACAAGTTTACCGAGCAAACAAACGTTGGGGAATACATGAAAAGCCAAATGGAAGAAAGTTACAAAATATATATATAAAAGAAAATAATCTCTTCCACTGAGGAGAAATGAAGAATATTCATACCTGAAGGAAAACACAAGAGAGGAAATGGCCGGGGAAGCGATCGAGTGTGTGTATTCTCAAGCGGAAGGATCAATGTTAAGTAGGTCTCTATTCCTTTTTTTTTTTTTTTTTTCTAATTTTGTCATGAAATTATTTGTAAATTTTGCATAACTTCTTACATCCGTTGAGAGTAAGCTGGAGGAACTTGCGAGAAAGAGATCTACTTAATTGCTTGCTCCCATGGAAGAGTGCTCTCTTCTTATATAATCATTTCTATATAAGTCAATTATTCACATTATTAATAATTTAATAATAAAATATGAGATATTTTTCTTTTGTGGGTAATGAGAGATGAGATATGAGACCTTGAGAAAAAATTTTGGAAGTTACCATAAAGTAGCGGATCATGTTTAATCAATGTTTATCTTCTAAATAATGTGTAAGCATGTTTATTTTTCAGATCTTGTGCAACTAATATATATTTTCTAGATCAATGTAAGCAATGTTTATTCAAGAAATGACAATATTACAACTTAAATATTATGTAGAATTGCAAATTTATAATAATAATATGTTATTTGATTTGTCTAACTTGTATTTTAAGGCATAGGTTAAAAATGTAATAAATATATTTTTTATAATTAATTTATATAAAAAGTTATAAAAGTTAATATATTTTTTAATATTATTAACACATGAATAATTTTAATTAATTAATTAATTAAATTGAAATCAAAATTTACACTTTTAATA